GAAATTGTCTCGTACGGGAATACGTAATGCGTGTTTGACATTGGTCTGAAGGGAGTATGGTCATTTCCACAAAAGGGGCCCCGATATAGACCCCAATGCAATATAATTCTCATACGCTTGCAGTTATGGGGTCCTTAAAGCAAGGTACCTACATCCTACACCCCTGAGCCCTACATCCTAAACCACCAACATATACATCCCTATATCATATATTATTGTGGTGATGTATCCCCTTATTATCCTCAGCTATCCCTATATACCCTTTTATACATCTCTGCATGGCAGTTTCCCAAAACAGGGGACCTCAAACTACTACCAGCATACTCCTGACAATATAGCGACCCCCTAGTAACAGTACCCCTAAGTTGGGGAAACCCTCGCTCTGTCTCCCTCTCTATCCCTACATACCCCTATAGGTCCCTATAATCTTCCCCTTTCAAGGGACCCCCCTTACATACATCCCCTAAGGCCTAAACCTCAAACTCTAAACCCTGAACCATAAGCCCCAAGCTCTAAACCCTAAACCTTCAACCCTGAACCCTGAACCCTATTGTCCAGCCTTTCAGGTAGATTCTCCAGCTGCCCTCGTCCACCTCGCGGACTTCGCTGCCCTCCGCCTCGAGGCGGGCCTGCGCAAGCGGTTTAGAGTTTAGGGATCACAATTTAGGGGTTTAGGGGTGTAGGGTTTAGGGTTTAGGGGTTTAGGGTGCTGAACTTACTTGGAGGTTCTACAGGGGCTTAGATCGGGTTGCTTAGGGATAATTAGCTTGGGGTATTGATTAGGGTTTATGGCAATGAGCAACTAAGTAGAACTGGTACCTAAAACACATTTACAACCATATGCGGGGACTTCCGGACTCATAACAGTTTCAACTGCTCCCCCAAGCATGCGTAATGATCGGGGTTTACAAGTTCTTTGTGTACTTTGGGCTTTTGAAGCTTATACCAGGGATATACCGCATTTATTTGGGTTTAACACGCGTCAAAAGTTTAGGGATTGCGGGATCAGGGTTAAGGGTTGAAGGCTTGGAGCTTCAACCGTCTTAGGGGCAGAGGGCTCGGGGCTTGAGGGTTTTTCGGGCGCAAGGCATAGGATTCAGAGGATGACGTTCAGGATCTAAGGCTTTATGATGTTTAATGCTTAGGGCTTGTCAGGCTTCAGGTGTAAGAGTGTGGGATTTAGGGTTCAAGGTTGGCAGGTCCTGGGTTAAAAGTTTCAAATTTTTGTATCGTTTCCAGACCTAGGGTTGGGTTTAGAGGTTCAGGGTTCAGAAGTCCAAAGTTTAGGGCGGGCATCGTTTTCTGGATCATCCATTAATGCACGTATAGTCGTTACTGCCGCTTGAGGAACAGGCATTTAGGCCCTCTTGCTAGGCAGTCCTTTCCTGGATGACACAGTCCGTTTAGTCTGACTCTGGCTACGTGCAACTTATGCCTGGGCATCAGCCGACCCTGCCTGCAACTCTGCACCCACGGCTCTTCATAATGCAGACCGCCGATCAACAACACCCCCTCCTTTTGAGGCCTGTAATATTAGGATCCCTATTATAATGCCCATTAAGGGGAGGAGGTTTATTAATTAGGGGTCCACATTAAGCATGGTCTCGAGCTTCATCTCCACACGACTGCGCTGATCCACCAATTCCCACAACTGTCCCATCCAGCCATGCCGCCAAATCCTCTGCTTCGGCCCTCTCAGCCCGCTCCCTATCCTGAATCTTTCATTCCTCTGCAGGATTCACCTTGCACACTGAGACTTTCGGGCTTGGGTGCAAGGCTTGTAGGACTTTCAATAGGCTCAGAGCCTGGACGGTGCCCTCCCCGAAACACATATGAGCTATAGTCTAAACTCCTAGCATCCCCCTTAGTAACCCCTATAGTAGTCCCTATATAAACCCCTATATATTTCCCTTTAAGGAGTTTTAGACTATAGCTCATAATATAACCCCATTATAGTAGCTTCCATTTTATTTTCCATTATCCCAATATTACCCCAATATACTATAGTAGTTTCCATTTTCTTTTCCATTATCCCCTTAACCCCAAACCCTAAACCCTAGACCCTAAACCCTAAACCCTAAACCCCAAAACTCCAATATAGGACCCCGTATTATAAGGAATTTAGACCAATACCCATATATAGAACCTGAAAGAAGCAACTTGTAGGCCAGGCTAATCTGTTGAAGAGGCTTCTGGGTGGTATCCCATGGTTGTTTGGAAGAGGCACAAACTGGAAAGGCCCGGCCCAGCCGAAACGTAAACTTAGGTACAAATGCTTTGGGTTTAAGTGTTAGGGTTTAGTTAGGGCGGCTGAGGTCTGAGAGATGGTACCCCTTGAGCCTTTAGCCCCCAGACTGGCTGTCCTGTGGTTCGAACGCGATCCATACTGGCCACTCCAACATGCTACTATACACTAAACTACCTACGAGTCCCCTAAGTCCACCCTTTCTGGTGCCTTGGTATAACCCCCCTTTAATAGATAGAATACGTGGTATAGGGCTGAGGCCTGAGGGGCAGCCACATTTGAAGTTAACTCTTAACGTGAAACCCCAGCAGTCCAAAAACACATAGGTCATGTGGGACCCAAGCAAACTTTGCTGAAGTCCGCAAGGTCCGGCAACAATGAAGATAGTTTCTCAGCCAGCGGCGTTATGAGAGTTTCCAAATCTGGGTAAACCACTGCAAACCTTATTATGGGAATCCCGGCAAGGGACACCTAATTTTCGGAAACTCGTCTGTCCCTAAGATCAGTGCTTACTTAACCCTAAACTGAAGCCCTAAAGCGCGCCTTCTCTTCTGGAAGCTCCGGCTTGTGATCCTACACATCAGGAAATCTGGGCGTTGCTGTTGTTCCGAACGGCAGGGTGCAAGGTTGCAAGAAGATTTGGCAATCTAGATATAGTCCCCCTTAAGTAGATAGAATATGGGGTATACGGGGATCTCATTATAATATACCTCGAGCTATATTCTATCTACTTAAGGGGGACGATAGGTCCACAAACTTTGCCGCCTTGCGCTTCGTTAGCTGTAAAACATGCCTTGCGTTTTCACCGAAGATGAACAGGCAGGGGCGATGAGAACATCAACCGTGACGAGACAGTCACTAAGTGTGTCATGCACTTTTCTAGATGGCGCCCAAGCCCAAACTTGTCTGAGGTCAAATTGGATTTTCTGGATCACACCTAGTCCATGCACTGTGGGTACACTGTCTTCCTCTCGGCCCTTCGTACAGTCCCCCTTACGTAGATAGAATATGAAGTATATGGGGACTTTATTATAATATACCCAAAGCCATATTCGATCTACTTAAGGGGGACTATAAGCCTTACAGAGAACAGGGTGTAGGGTTGAGGGCAACTCTGCAGACTGCTCATCAAGTGTTTCATTAACTCGCGATCCTCCCGCGGATCTGACAGGCCCACAAAGCCGACAGGAACTAGCAACACCACATGAGCTATAGTCTAAACTCCTAGTAGCCGCTAGTAGCCCCCTTAATATCCCCTAATGTACTCCCCTACATAATCCCTATATAACCCCCTTTAAGGAGTTTAGATTATAGCTCATATGAACTATAGTGAAAACTCCTTAGGGGATTTTACAGGGAGTATTGTAGGGGTGACTAATGGGGAAACTAGGAGTTTAGACTCTAGACCGTATGAAGCCCTGGAGAACTGTACAGATCCTAGAGATCCGGAGCCCCTTAAATCCTGCAAGCATCCCGCAGATCCATGAAAGAACCCTCGGCGCCAGAAAGAAGATTTTGAATGTAGCGCCAGGCCCTGCCTTGCAAAATCAAGGTAAATCAGCTGCTGACCTCTGTGAAGCCTGAACACGGTAGAAACCCTTAACTTACTGCTTTCACTAACGTCCACGGTCCTTTGTGCAGAAAATCATGCGCGAGTCTCGTCGATTCCAAGACCCAAGCATGATCCGCGCGTCTCCAATGAACGCAATGTGAACCTAAGTTAAGTGGAAACCGGTTTCCTGCCAAAAACGTATAAAGAGGTTCTATAGGGATATACGGCTGGGGACTAGAAAAAAACAATGCAGCATCAAGTCGAAGAGAAACTGGAACATGAACTGGAAGCTTATGTCGGCTTTCACAGTGACGGTGTAGCCATGGTAGATTGTCAAAATCATCCACTATGGTACGGCCCCTATTATTCAGGGTAGCCCAAAGGAGGTACCATAATTTTGTGGACCTGAGTTGTGGCTTCTGAAGCCCAATCCCGAATCCTCACGAGGGCTGCCCGTCATCTTTTGCTAGCCCCATAAATCCCCCACCCTTAACCTTAACCTACCAAAACCTACTTTTGGTAGGTCGCTTATAAATTAGACTAGGGTTTATGATAGGACCCTACCTACGAGAGGCAGGCTTTGGTAGGCTAAGGTAGGCCCTCCATTTGGAGCAATTCCTGGCTTCCCAATCGGTCACTCATCTTGTCATGGGGGTTGGCGAAACAAACCAGTGTGCACCGAGCATAGCCGCATAGATGATGCAGCCCTGAAGCCCCAAACCCTGAGCTCATAGGAATCTGGGCCCTTCCACCTTCAGATCTCACTGTGCTCGAACATCAAAATTCTCAGAACTATGCCAAGTCTATTCGCGCCAAGGTCAGCAAATATTCTTGAGACCCTGATTTTCATCAGTTGAAAGATCGGAAAAACAGAGCTGACAAGTCGCTTGGGCTCATGAGTTGCATGCTAATCACCTCCCCTAGTATCGACCCCCTCAAGCCCCTAGTATTGTATATGCCCGACTGTGAATTACTACAATACAGTGCGAGTCCTTGATATGGGGACTAATACAAATTAAGTTGAAGGGACGAGACTGCAGCAGAAGCCTGAGCATACAAGCCGCGTAATCCAAAAACCCTGCCTCAGAATTCGGTTTAGGATTTAGGGTTTAGGTGGGTGAAACCCCCACCCAGTAATGGGTACACAAGGGACTATTGTAGGTCGCAGCGCCTGTGACATTCAACTATCACCATCCAAGCAGCAGTCTGCTCTTCCAGCACAAGGCCTCAGTTCGCAATATTTGAAATCTTCATTTTGACATTCGGTAGTTTCCCAAAATAAGGGGACCCCAATATAGACTCCAAAATATTGTACTCCTTACTAGCCACAAAAAAGTCCCAAACAAGTACCAAGGATAGGGCATGCGATGAGGGGAGAGGGGGGGCGTTTGCTTTCGTTGTCCGTTCTATTTCGCCCGCCAGGGTCCGCCATCCAAAAACTTTCCTTACTTCATCTGTAGAAAGACTTGGCGGAGTCAAACGGCAACAGGACCTTTTTGATTAATATAAATGCCTATTACATGACCGCTATATAAAGCTCGTTTCCACTGAATTCTCCATGTTCTTGTCCAGTTGTTTCTCCAGTGCTAAGTTGGATACCTGGAAGAAAAATCTCTGACTTGAAATTGATTCCCCCAGATGCTCGGGAACCCGTCTACCTTACATTCCCAAGCCCCAAGCCCTCCAACGTTACATTGCGTGCTGGCACCTGAAATATGTGTTGTTTTATACCCTTATGTGGGAATCGAAACCCGTGGCCCCCAAGGCGTAGCTGCCTTTAGTGTGTCGAGTCTAGGCTCAAGATCACTACAAGCCGTTGAATTCGTCATTGCTTTTCCAGATTGCGTACTTCAACGCTAAAGCTTTGGTCACCTCTTGCTGTAACTGTCCTTAAAGGTCTTATTCAGGAGCTGTTATCACTCCTATTACCTTTTCTGGTAATCCTTACTGTCGGGAGAGAAGACTCAACCTAAGCCCTAAACTGTGTGACAGCAGGGTTTCCCAAAATAGGTATAATATTTTGGGAGGTACCTATTAGAAGGATGATAGTATTTGAGGGTCAATATTGGGGTCCCCCTATTGCAGAAATTTTGAAACCTGTGTCTATCCGTGTAAACAAGCCCACCATGTGTAGGGCTTAGGGTTAGGGTTTTATGCCCCTACAAGCAGTTGCGTTACGTCGGTAATGTGATTTTTTGACTTAAATCCGCTAAGATCCGGGAACCCATTTTTTGGAATGAATCTCATGGCTATTGATGCCCATCTCTGTTAATACAGGTATCAAATAGACGTATATAACCATCGTAAATCCGCATCAGCGCCTCATCTCCTCACCTTACCAGAAGACAAACTCACACGCACATAACATAAGTCCCTAATTCCGAAACCCTACTGCCCCTGCGCAACCGCAGGAGGGCGGAGGGACAGCTCTTGTGAAAACCGCATGTCACCCCTGTATATACATACCACCTCAGCCCCACATGGGGGAAGGAGGCTCCCTGGTCCCAAGCCGTAACGACGACCTTGGCAACACTGCACCATATGAGCTATAGTCTAAAATCCGACTATCCCCCTGAATACCCCATAGACTGATCCCCGATATACTCCCCTATATACCCCCTTCAAGGAGTTTAGACATGTTTAGACTATAGCTCATATCAACCCATGTATCCCTACATATGACCATCCGTTTGAAGCGAGCCCTTGACTAGTTCTTGTTTCAACCCCAGCATGATCCACGAACCGCGTCCAAAAAATCTGAGGCCTTCATCCCGGAGATCTTGAAGCTTAAAACCGCCCGGTAAGTAGATAAAATATAGGGTATATTAGGATCTTCTTCCAACGTACCCAAGGCCATATTCTACTTAAGGGGGACTATAGAGTTCAGGGCTTCGAGTTCGTGCTGGTTCATATAAGTCCTCTGCCAGTACTGAATTAAACTGATGACCCCACTGTGATGCCCTCCAAGATATGAGACTCTCTTAAAGCTTTAACACAAGCCCTTTTATATTCGCCTATAAACCTGAGGACTTAGAAGTGCCCTCAAACCCCCAAGCCCTATACCTCCCAAACCTCCATAATTCCTCAAGCTCTAAACCTAATGGTCCCTAAACCCCAAACACCCTAAACCCTAACCCCTACCCCTACTCAACTCAGCAAAGCCAAGCCACAGGAACCTGCAGCACCAGAGGCCTCAATGTTGATATTCTGCTCGCGACCTGGGAGTTCGCACATGAGCAGAGAGTTGGGGGCCCCTTCAGAAGAGGTTTTAGGGGGTTGGAAAAGCGTACGCATGTTTAAAGAAAGATTTCTCCGTAATTAATTTGAGGTTCCAGGGTTATATACGAATGACTTTTTACTTCTGTTTTGTGGCCCGATAATGGAGAATGAGAAGGAAAGAGGGTGCAACATAGAATGGATCTGGGGTTATAATGATTAGCAACCCTTACCCCTAGGTTCAAAGTTTCCAAAAGTCAAGGATCCTTTTTGGGGGCGTTAGCCTCTAAAAAAACGCTTCCCACATATGTTGAGGCCAGCCCCAGTGCAGGCGTTCTGTAAGGTAGTACAATAATCCTTTATCATCCTTTATCATTAGTAGTATTCGTATCCTTATTACGGTTAGTATTATTAGTAGTAATACAAATTCTAAAAACCCTAAACCCTATTACTATTATTACTAGTATTGTTATTGTCTTTAGGTCAAGGACCCATGCAAGTAGAATAGACTTTTAGGCTGGCCGGGCTGAACCATGAAGCATACTTCTGACCGAGATCTCCATACAACACTGCCCAGTTGACTCTACAGTCAGGGTTTAGGGTTTAGGATCTCTAAACTGGTATATAGTGGGTTATATAGCCATTTACTATATAATTGCCCGAAAGCCTACATCCTGAAATATATGCCAAGGTGCAGAAGTTCTCCAAGTCCTCCTGCAAATGGGAAAATGTTGTTTGGTCGTCTGCTGCAGGTCTGCATAACCCAAACCCCAAAGGCGCAATCAAAAACCAAACTACCCCAACACCTAATATAGACATGTAAAACAATAATCCTGAGTTCTGAACCTTTAAAAACCTACTCTCTAAAACCTGAAGCCTAAACTCTACATCCTGAACCCTAAATCCTGCACCCCAAGCCTTCTATCCTATACCCCAAAACTCGCACCCTAAATCTGACACCCTGACCCTGATCCCTCTACCTCAATTTAAACCCTAAACCCCAAACCCTTTGGGCTCTTAAGAAATAAGGGGGCCCTGTGGAGAGGTATATGAGCTGTAATCTACAGTCCCAGTATCCCCCTTAACAAGCCCCTTTAATCGTCCCCTAAAAAATCCCTCGTATGAGCAACTATCAATATTAGGCGTATGAAGGGACCATGAAGGGTGGACATAGGGGTCCCTTTCGTCGTAGCTTAGTACGGTTCCTAGTACTGACTGTAGCTCATATAAGAAATGTAGGGATGTATTACCGCACTTTGGAGTTGGAAGCTCACTCTGGGGGCCCCCATAATAAGGACACGAAAGCCTAAACCCGAAACCTTGAACCTTATACATATAAATATATAGATATATATACAACATATTCCCTTATTCCCTAACCAGCCCCAGTAAGCCTTTAGCTACCACAAGACTCCACAGTACTTTCAGATCTATGTAAGGCGTACACCCCTTTGGAAATGGCTCCTTGGGGCCCTGGGCCGGCAAAACCGAAGCCTTTTTCCCCCCAAGACCCCAACCCTTGAAGCCCCCATACCTCACATCTCAGCCTCTAAAATCAAAACCCTAAACCCTAAACCCTATAGTAGTTTCCCTTCTACTTTCCATTATCCCTACATAACCCTTACAAAGGTCACCCCCCCCCCCCCGATTTAGAACCCTTTTAGGCCTAAGCCCTATATAGTCCTTATTAGCTCCTTAAACCCTGGGGGGGTACCTTGGGGGGAGAACTATTGTAACCCCTTACTAAATCTTATAGTCCCCCTTAAGTAGATAGAATAGGCTTTGGGTATATCATAGGGTTGAGGGTTTCGGGTTTAAGGATAGAATATGGCTTTGGTATCTTAGCAGAAGATCCTCATATACCCCATATTCTATCCACTGAAGGGGAACTATAATTCTTACGTCCTACGCCCTGTAGGATCCTTACACGTTCCGCGACCTAGGGAGCCCACTACCCCTTAATTAAGGAGTATACCTTAAACCATATAGGGGACCCTAATACCATCTAAGGTATATTCCTTTTTTGAAGGATATTGGGCTCTTTGGGTAACCTTCAAGCCCCGAATCTCGCGTCCTGAGCTCTGAAACCTAAACCAATGATGTAGCAGTCGTACTCTTGCCCTCCTACAGCAGGTGAGTTTTTTCTCTCTCAGCCCATCGACAGTCGTACTAGGAAATAGCCCAAAACCCACTACGGGCTATTAGACCTTAAGGGTACCTTAATCTACCCTTAGTAGGGTCCTAATGGGGAATTTTCGGGTCGAATAGCCCATGGTGGACCCTAAATCCTAAACCCGACTGGCCTCGGTAAACAAACCAGGCTGCAAGGCCAGGGTAAGACCTACAAAACCTCGAGCCCTAAACCCTAGACGTCGAACCCCTGAACCCGTAACACAAACAGCCCTAAACACCTAACCCCAAATCCTTGATCCTTTCTTGGCATCTGGCTCTGCGCGCCCTTGTGTAGTGTCATTTAGGGTTTGTATATGGAGCTATATCGACGATGTAGGGATGATATAGGCAACTGCTATACATCGGGTCATACAAGGATAATGGCAAGGGAAATGGACACTAAACCCTGAGCCCTTAACCCTAAACCCCCCAAACCCTAAACCCTAAACCCCTTAACCCTAAACCCCTTGACCCTACAAACCCTGAGCCCTGAACCCCCCTGCCTGAGATTTGCCGAAGGCTTCTTTCAAGGCTTCCTCCCAGTTTTTGCCGAAGTGCTCGCTGTTCGTCAAGAAGTACCTTACGGTTCAGGGTTTAGGGTTTAGGGTTTAGGGGTTTAGGGGTTAGGGTTTAGGGGGGTTCCTCCATAGTTCTTCGTAGCCAGAAGCTTAAGCGGGCTGGCCCGAACCCCTGACTCAACAGCGCCTATGCCACTGATCGCTGCAAGCAATGTGTTCTTAATGTCGTCCTATTCGGGTGCCCTCCCGAAGGGTTCCTATCATGTGAGGTGCAGGACAGCCAGATATTTGATGAATGGTATTCCCGTGCCTTGTATTGTGAGTTGTACATATATCCCCAGAAAATAATTGCGTTTGTAGAGCGAGCTGCGGGATTGTCTGCACCAGGCGAAAAGACACCAGGTGACCGAAGGGGCCGTGCCCATCGCACACGCCGTACATGGTTACCGCCCCAACATGGTGCACGAAAAAGTTGTCCTGCCCGGAAGTGGGGGTGCGATGGGAACTCTCACGGGATTATGGACCTCTGCGGGGAAGAACTTACATGGCGGCATTTGCAACACGCCACAATCTCAGGTGGCCCATACTTTCAGAACACATCTTCCGGAAACTGTATAAACAAAGACCCTCCTAGTACCCCTTAGCTCGGGAGATAAGGCTAATAGTGGGTACCTATAGGCCCTGCTAGAGGCCAAATGAGCCCTGGACTAAAATTGCTTTTCTCCCTCATAGGTCCCCACCAAAACACTGTATAGTCCCCTATAGGTCCCCCCCAACCTAAATTTAGTCCGTATATAAACCCTAAACCCTAAATCGTAGATTCCATTTTATTTTCCATTATCCCAATATATCCCCAATATACACCCTACAATCCACTATAATCCCTGTCTAGGCATCAGGATGAATCGCAATGGCATGTGTCTGTCCTGATTGGGCGTCGGGTCAGAAGCAGATTTCTGGCCTAAGCTCAGGGTTTAGGGTTTTAGGGTTTAGGGTTTTAGGGTTTAGGGTGTTAGGGTTTAGGGTGTAAGGCTTTAGGGTTGAGGGTTTAGGGTTGAGGGTTAAGGGCTCACTGTCTATCCGAGGCATCGATAGCTGCAACGAGCTTTAGGTCAGATTTCGGACTCTATGCATACTTTTCAAGCCTGGGTAACTTGCAATCTGATTCTGACACTTTCCGCTGCCGCTATCCCTTGGAATATCTAAACTACCCCTTGCTGTAGTCCCAATATATTACATTGCGTACCGAAAAAACACTGAATTCTTCCATTACTGTTGATACTCCAAGTCCTGCGTGACAACAGTATGCTGTAAGTTGATCATTCCAGAGGTATCAAATGCTTGCAGTTGCGCAGGGTTTGAGTATTCACTATTCACCGTAAGACTTAGGGTCGTACATGCTGCAGGTTCTGGGACTGGAGTTTGACAATCGGGGTCCGGGGCCTCAGGGATCCCAGGACAATGTAGGGTCCCTGGGCTTCATTAGGGTTCCGGGTTTAGGAAAGTCCCCTCTGATGTAAGGTGGGGGGTCTGTCTGTGAGCTGCTGGCAATCCTACACGGGAAGCTGCTGCCAGACTGTGCCTGCTGCAGCAGCTAGATTCTGTGAGCTCTGTTACCCAAGACTAGTGAAGCCAAGCTCATACTTGCAGCAAGGAAGGACACACTGAATCTGGCCATGTCAATAGATTTAATTGCTAGAAGTGTAGCGAAGACATCTTCAGCCACAAGGCATGGACAGCTGGCGCACGCACGAGAGCCATCTCAAAGCAGCGTATGAAGCACATATATCGTGAGCTTGCAGAAAAGCCTGTCTTCCCGCTGGTAGCAAGTCATAAGGTTGACATGGACATGAGCAATATCAAGATGCTATGCCCTGCGCGGTATCTCTCCAAGCTTGGAATGATACACTACTCAATGCAGGAGCATCACTTCCAGCGGCGGTAGCTGTAGGCAGCAACAGTAGCGTTTGCAGCTGCAAGAGTTAGCAATACCTGTAGCAGGAGCAACAGTAACAGTGTTGGTGTGGTATCGCAGGGTTTTCTCACAGCCTCGCTGACCAAAAATGAACTACGATGATGACAGCCCGACCAGTCAGATGACATGCGCTTTGGGACGCTCCCAAAAGCCTGCGCACGCGTCTTTGGCGCGATGACGCTCAAAAGAAAAGCGTTATCGACTTCCCCAAATAGCGACATTAACGCTCCCAACCACTGAAAAAAGCCATCATCCCGCTGAATGCTAGTATATAAGGGCTGTTTAGTACGAGTGTCCGGAACTTGCTATTATGATCTATTATGGTCTTCAGAACCGCTCAACAAAAAAGTCCACTCACCCAAGTCAAGCTGGCGGCCCTTCTGGCAGAGGACGGCAATCTCTGTGGCCTGCAGCGCCCTAAACGCTAAATCCGAAAACCTAGACTAAACCCTAAACCAGCAGGTCACACAGAGAGAGCCCAATACCCCGCAATTAAGGACTCAACCTTAGAACTATACTAGCACCCCTGATACGATGAACTGTGGCCTCCTTAATTAAGGGGTATTCTGCTCCCTTGGTAGCATGGTCTTGAGGTAAGGGCTTAGGAGTTTATGATTGATCGATGGGTGTCTTCTGAGAAATCAAAGAGCATGTGCTAACCCCACACGGAAAGCTGCCCTTCGACGTTTGGCGGAAGCCTATCTGTTTCTTTCCATTAAAAGAACGACCCCAACATAGACCTCCTAATACCTGAATTCGTATTTTTGTGCGAAGACCAGAATGGGAACACTCGTTGTCGGAAATTCTCATGTGTGGTCAGGAATCCAAGTATAACATGCAGCATTAAGCAACAGCTTCAGCGGCATGATACTTAACTCCGCAGTGGGCGAGGGTAAGGTCAGATTCCTCAGGACAACCTGACATTCTTTGGACATGCACGCAATACAATGGAAGAAACAACAATGAGTATACTACAGCGGTACTTTTACGTGCGGTAGGTAATCCGGCTAGTATGGTTTATGCGTGGGCCCAGCCAGGCTTTATGCTGGCCGTACTATGATTTTTGCAGGCAGGTGGGTAGAGGGTTCCTTGTCTTCAGAACTACAGACGTGAGAGCGTCTCAAAAACTGATCCGCCTAAAAAGGAGCCCACAGAATCCCCTGATAATCCCAATGAATTTAGGGCCCCCAAAGATGCGCTATTTGGGGAAACTCCCATGCAGCGCGCCCTTTAGAAGTGCTATTCCTGCTAAAGGCTTCCCAGCCGCCTATGCGGTTTAGGCTCCTGGGAGCGGATTGTTATGACTACGACTAGCTTTTTTTGAGTGCCTATTTCATCCTAGACTGCATCTTGAACATTCACAGCTTCATCCCTATTCTCATGGCAAGGCAAATGGGGCATTTTTGTGTCATATGAGGAGAGCCTTGTCAGAGTGATAATAATTGAAGTAATCAGAATAATAACAACAACAATTGTAATAATAGTAATAGTATTCATAATAGTAGTAATAACTGTACTATAGTAATAGTAGTAATAATGATAGTAATAAGTGTGGTATGAGTAATATTAGTACTAATAAGACTAGTATGAATGGGAAGTCCCCGTCAAACAGTGTACGGCCTGCTTGAGCTTTGTAGCAGCCTGCCACGTGTATAGGTCTTCGTCTCCTGGGGCGCTTCACGTAGCTTTGGCTACTCATCAAACTGTTGTATTGGGGTTATAAGGGGATTATAGAAAACTGGAATGGAAACTACTATTTAGGGTTTAGGGCTTAGGGTTTAGGGACATGGAAGTTTCCAGAAACTGGCCGCCCAGTCATGGACCCAAACATATCATAATCTTTAATTAATAGGGACCCCCAAAGAGGGCACCGTATGTTTGAAAGACCTGCACCTCAGTGATATCAAGAATCAGGGTGAAGGGGTTTTAGGGGTATGTAGGGCTGAGAAACTAGTTTGCACTTTCCTCTTTCCTCTTGGGGACTGCGTAGGTTTTTTCCTTGAAAGGTCCCTGGAAAGTATCACGTGTCCCGTGTGGGGGATGTATGAAGCTTGCATGTAGACCACAAGGACTATCGCGAGCTTGGGACTTCAAATGAAATTGCTCCTCTTTTGAGGTCCGTAACATACCTGTCGTGAGCTTCAATTTGTGGGGATGCATCACCTTCCCTAACTGTCAAAATTACCCTTGTTTTCATATTATGGTTCAGCACGGAGGGATTTGCCATCTCCTGCAGCTGCTTGGATATTTGGGCTCATCGCTTGGTACGCAGCTTTGGATGTTTAGAATTGTCAGGATCAATGTTTAGGGTCTTTGGAAGATATTATGTAGGGGTTAATAGGCACTACATTCCCTTATGGTGGTTTCCCAGAATAGGGGGACCCCAATTTTGATCCCAATAAACTATGGCCCCCTAAACCCTAAACCCTAAACCCCTTATTCTGGGGATCCCCTAAAAACGTACCCCTTAATTCTGGGAAACCGCCTTGTTCCCTAGTAACCTTGGGTTTAGGGTTTAGGGTTTACTATGTAAACCATGGAGTAAGCACACAGCCCCGTCTCCAAAGCTCGGGCGTCTTTTTCTTAGAAAATGACGAGTAACCGGTAATCCATATACAGCTGCTCTGAATGGGGGTTTCCCAAAATCACGGGTACCCTACTGGGGACCCCTATAATTAATAAGGGTTACAGTATTTTAGTCTCCATGTTGGTCTCCGCCTATTTTTGGGAAACTACCCTATAGAAATGCTCCCCAAAAGGTTAACCACCCGCCTACGCCCAAATAAGCCCTGATGCCAAAGGATGTCTCCCAACAGTTTTGGGGTAGTACTGGGAATGCCTAACTTTGGGGGGTGGGGCTGACTAAGGAAGGATCAGTCCCCAGCAAGGCCTTCAATGAGTGTCTGGAAGGAACCTTGCTAGGTACCTATGATACGGGCTATCGTAAACGGAGCCATAGTCTCAACTCCTAGTATCCCCCTTAATAACCCCTATAGTATTCCCTAATATAAGCCCCTTTAGGGAGTTTAGACTAAAGCTCAGTTGGGATCTACCGCGGCGCCCTCATTTTGTTCAAGTCCCCGCACAAGACTACAGAAGCAATGCAAAGCAGGACAGAGATGTTTTTCTTGTTGCTGAGTGCCTCAGGCCAAAAAACAACAATCTACATTTGTCGTATCGTGAAATTCGGGGATCCCTCTAGACTCCAAAGTGTACCTACCCAGCCATTTGATTTTTCTAGAAGGACCCAAATATAAGTGGAGGTAAAATTCCTACTATGCAATTGCAGTAGGTACTGCTTACTATAACGTAGTTTCTCAAACCTCTTTTCCTCATCTGGGCAAAGCCCTTAACCCTCAGGATCTGAACTTCAAACTTCCACGAAGCAGAAATCTGGCTATGTTGATCCATTTTTGAAACCTGAGATACGACCTATCTGGGTTTCTTTCCTGCACAACACCATTTA